TATATATATATATATATATATATATATATAAATATATATATATACTTTATAGCCTTTTAATTGTAAACAATACATAATATAAAGCATAAATTTCACCTGAAATACCTGTGTACTAATAATTGGTGAACTCCTTTCATTAATCACTGTATTAGCATCAATGTTAAATACACATATTTCTCCTAATAATTCATATTATCTTAAGTTTAAATTTCGCTATTCAATCTCAATTTCTTAACATCTCAAATAATCTAATTCACATAAACAATTTTTTTACTTACATTGTAGACCACCACTTGTTTTAAATCTTACGTAAATTTACATCACCTTGAAATCAAACGCACATAATTTTTAACATTCTCTACATATATGTAATAATCCTTGGTCAGCCAGTTATTTACTGCAAAATATTTTCCTCAACAACCGAGATTCTTATCAGAACACTGGACATGGAATTCAATTAAACCTCCCATGATAGACCGATCGATATCGGGTGAACCACCTGGACATGACAGGAAGGCTCACCTAAAATGTGAGCCAACTTAGTACAAACCTATGTGGCTTACTTAGAGATGAGCCAAAAAGTGAGATATTAGTTGAACCACCTAGCCATGGCATTTGGGCTTATTGCTGGAGCCGTTTTTTTTATATTATAGAGACGTGGCTAAACCGTCTATCTCGCTTGACGGCGGTATAAATCCCTTAAAGCCAAGGTTGAGGTCTCTACAAAATAGTATTTCTACCGCCGTGTTTAGTCCCCTAAGGCCGTGCTGGTTTCAGAGGAGCCAAGCTGTATATACGACCGTGTTTAGTTCGTTAAGGCTTAGCAGAAGACAAAACTAGTGAGGATGTATGTGTAATAATGTTTAAATAATCTATTTTAGTGTCTTGATTTGTTCAGTTTCATGAGGAGCCCCATTTACAAGTATTTCGACATGATAATGTTATGTTGGTATTTAGATATAAAAGATAATAAAATTTATACAGTATATAAATGTATAGTAGTTAGAGTAAGAGAAATAAATAAAACAAATCAAAAGTTCATGAATAGGTTTAGCTCAACATTTAAGGGGAGACTATGGTGTCCCTACACTCTCCCCTTTCTAGTGACGAAGAATACGGAAAGATATAGATTTCTTTGGGTTAACATATTAAGGTTGAACCTGGTTTGCGAAGCCGTTAGGTTCGGTAACCAAACAGTCTCTTTTGCGCTAAAGAACTTCAAAAGGACCTCTATATGTTAGCTGCAGTAGACGCCGGACGGAGTCTACTCTAACGAACACATTAGTACAGTCATGAAGATCCTGATCTATGAAAGATCTGCAAGATGACAGTTACTGTGGCTGAACAGTTCGAAGCTTGGACATGACATCCCTGTCCTCGGTTGCATAATCCTAAGTAGGATTGGTAATGGATCCTGAGGAACTGCATAGCATTTCTAAAGGAGGGTAAATTGATTTTCTATGTACAGGTTCTGCAAAAAAGGTCTGATTTGAGGGAGATCCTGATACCTAAAAACACAAGAAGGAGAGTAGGCCAGTATACATGTTAATGAGCGAGTGATAATTTCTGTTTACAATGAAACCGTTCGATGAGACCGTTGGCAAGAGGATGGTAACTTGAAGTACCATAACGTTGAATCATAATATACATTCCTAGGAATGTTATGGGTTCACCGGAATTTAAGAGATCACGTGTCAGTCCTGGGAGAACGGAGAACAGAGAAAACCAAGGGATTGTCTGGGTTTGTGCTGATGGAAGTCTACGCGGAGGCGCGCTGTGGATCACAATCGTCTTGGGTTAAAAGGAAGAAATATTTGCCAACTTCGTATCATCAAAATGATTTGGTTTATCCGTTATGATTTTACTTTTGCAAGGCTGTAATTTGGTTAGATAATTTTATCCATTAATGCTGATATATCTGTTTTTATATCTTCGAGTTAGACTTCCCCATTGCATAACATTAAACAAAGTTCACTGAAGTATGCCATTTTGTCTTGTCAGTTTAATTCAGATAACCATTGCACATACCCTATTTATTATATAAAAAATACGTTGCTATGGATGTTCTAATTTAAAGAAGGAAAATGAAGGCTCCCTAAAACAAAAGGCCTCTAATCCAACAAAACAAATAGACAAAAGTATATATATATATGTATATGTATATGTATATGTATATATACATATATGTATATATATGTATATATATAGATGTATATATATATATATATATATATATATATATATATATATATATATATATATATATATATATAATTATATACATAAAGTAGAACTGATAAACCCTCCTATTAATGCCACGAATAAAATAGACCGGAATTAACAAAGATCACACACGACGTGTAGACATCTGATCCTTAAACTGTTCCTGGTTATGAACATTAGGCCTTTTTTCCTGTGCCAAGAGGTGTAGTACTACAGACTCCCATGACTCCGCCCCTATTTATGGGGGTGGAGTCATATATAAGCAACTGGCTGATGAGCGCGCGGAGCACCTCTGCTCGTTTTAAAACTGGAAGAAAGTGGGAAGTTCAAAGTTGATGCTGCACTGTATGGTGCAATATTAGTAACTTTGATGATGTTAATGAGGATATTATTGCACTAAGTACTAGTTTGAAAGTATGTGTATATGTGTGCATATATGCCTA